TGATTATAGATATCATTATTATCATAAAATGAGGGGGCCTGCGGTAGTGCGGAGAAAGAAACACAGGGCATCCACGATACCCTAATCAGCCAATGAGCGAGTCCCAGGCCCCAGGTTCCAGCTGTCTTGACAACATCAGGAACCCGGGCAGCCTATATTAAACACCCCAGACTTTGAGCCATCTTTATTTGATGACTGTCGGTCCGAAAGTGGCCCAGCGCATCTCCCGCCGCCCGTCCTGTAATCGCATGATCTGCAGAGCCAGGAGGTCTGATGCACTGTTGGCTTAGCATAATTATCAAAGGGACACACCGAGACAACCAGTTTTTCCCCGCACTACCCACCAGTGTGACCGAGAATACCACCAATCAAATGCCAACAACCCTTCTCCAGTGTGGGATAGGCAAAAAATCCCTCCATCCATTAGCCAATCAGGATAGAGGTCAAAAATTCCTATCCGGCCCCATAAGGCGACCCAAAAGCACACTAGAAAGAGGGTGGGTGGGCGGGTGCCCGAAAGAGAAAGAGAACGATTTGTGGCTAGTGTTTCCCTTAAGTAAACGCTAGCCGCCACCACCCCCAACACGTGGCCTGGGCTGTCTTGTGACTTCTCGGCACCACAGAGGGCAACGGCCAGATCCACAGTTCAAGGGTGTTATCTCACCCTTCCTGCGTCCGGAAACTTGTTAAGAGAACAACACATTGTTGCTGCAGAAATCTTGGCAGTGTGGAACAGCAGCAAGGTGCAGTGGGGCTTCCAGTTCATTTTCTGTGTGAATGTAGCTTTCAAAGTTACCCACTCTTGGTTTGGAGGTTGAAGTAATGAGATAAAGAAGTCTCCTTGCTTTTAGCAACCTTTACTTCTTCTCAAGATAAGAGATACTAATAAGGTATCACCCCCGATTGAGGTATATACCTGTACCTTCCAGCCCTCCTGATTGCACTGGCTTTCACACATTCAAGAAAATCAAGAGGAGGGGGTATTTTAGCTTTTTCCTCTGAGAGCTGTATGTTCAGCATGTGTGAGAAGGGAGTATCAGGCATACAGCTATGCTCATTGAGCTTTTCAAAGCAAACAGGAAATGTGATGCAATCATATTTCCTGTCTGTGAGAAGGAGCCACATAAGAAATCCCCCTGTTTCATACTGACACCAAATGCTCAGCAGCAGGACAGCTGATGAATCATTAGTGATGGGAACAAGAGTAAAGCATTGTTGAATCCTCTGTTCATCTAAACAAGTGTTGTTTGGGGACACAAGTGCATGATCAGTTTAAAGATACAAATTAAAAATCATGGTATAAGTAAATCAATGGTGGGAATCCCTTCTATAGCACTGGATGGCAGCACATTGTATGACAGATGATGATAAAGACAATACAATACTGATAACAAGAGATTATTTCCTGGCCCCAGTTTTTAGCATCCTCATATACGGCAATGTGCTACTGTGTTAGTGCAGAATTTGAAAAGACTAATGGTTTTCTGCCACATCATACAAATTATGTATTGTGTACACAGACCATAATATTTTAGAGATAATTAAGTACTGTGGAAAGTGATCAAATAAGATTTCGTTGCAGACAACATATGTGATAGATTAAGCTTCTGAAATACAGATGGAATCAGTAAATGGAATACCTTACAGCACACCGTTTTCCCGAAAATATGACCTAACCTGAAAATAAGACCTAGTATAATTTTTCAGGATGCGCGTAATAAAAGCCCTACCCCCAAAATAAGACCCAGTTAAGTGAAACCCCGCCCTCCACCGTTGTGCAGCACCCGGAAGAAGATGACATGACTGTACTTGAATATATATATATTGTTGTAAATGGAAAAAAAATCCCCTGAAAATAAGCCCTAATGCATTTTTGGACCAAAAATTAATATAAGACCCTGTCTTATTTTCGGGGAAACACAGTAGACTGGATTGCATGCCTTTTATAGTACATGTGTTTTTTCATGTACTATGCAGATGAGACCTTTCTAACAGCAAATACCTCAAATCTTCTTCAGCAGCAAGAAAAATAAGCCATTTTCCAACCTTTTACAAAGTAAATCAGTGATAGCAAAGATAGGCTCAGCATTGCATTGAAAATTCATCCTAATCTTTCAATGAATTTAAAACCCTTCTTAGTTCCAATATGTGGGACTTCCAGGACAAACATTATCTCGCTCTCGCTCTCGCTCTCTTAAGAGAAGGAAAAAGATACCTTGGTATTTGTCACTTGAAATGGAACTTTAGAACCATTTGTAACTACAGATGTCTGTCTCTCGATTGGTCTGGAAGGGACTATATTTGTAGTGGGAGGATGATTGTGCAAGACTGAAGACAGGCAGAGTTGTACCGTCTCCTTCAAAGCTTTCAGCTGTGACTCCTGGAGAAGAAATTGCCATTAGATCTTAACAAGAGATTACAGAGAAAAACATTTTACTTGGCATTTTGAAAACAGCAACAACTGCTGTGCTTTTTATAATGTACAACGAAAACAAATTGAATAAACAAATGACAATAAATGATTATTTCACACAGACACTAAGCACTTCATCTTTTTTCATTAAGAAATTACTGGAACTTCTTATGCTGATCCATAGGCCAGTGTCAATCAACCGTTTTCTACATGGAACATCAATTTGTCACACAATTTGTCTGAAGCACCTAATACTGATTTCAAATTATTTATAAAATTAGATATCGCTCCAAGTGCTTCCAACTCATGCACTCAGGTCTGCTTGCAAATACAGCTTAAACACTGAAATCATAATACTATAAAAATTAAGCTATTAGTATAAATAAAATATACAGCTTCTCCTCTATTCGTATCGTAATATACTTCTGTTGCTTTTATGTTCTGAGAATTCCTTCCTTCCTTCCTTCCTTCCTTCCTTCCTTCCTTCCTTCCTTCCTAAAAACATGATCAATTGCAAAGTTAAAAAACTAGTAATATAAAAGAAAATGTTCAACATCAGCAATATGATACCAGTAAAATGCAACTAGTCACTAAACTACATAGCAGCATCCACTAATCAATTAGATTAAATGTAATTGAATTTGCTTCAATTAAAGCAAATTCAAGCAGGTAAGTATTAAGGCCCCATTCAAAGGCAGTGAAAGAATCAAATACATTTAAAAAAGGAATGAGTTCTACAGCATGAGAAATATGCTTTTTCCCATATACTCCTGTCCTGCACATGTGGTCAGGGTTTTACACAAAGAGAGCTTTCCTTACCTCAGCACCAGTACAACAGTCTTAACTGAGTGCATGGGCGTTATCAGGCTCTGGAGGAAATACCAAACTTTTCTTGAGGCCTAGTTGATTAGTACCTTCTCTGCCAACCGCTTATGAATGATCGTTACAGAGAACCTTTAACATGTTTCTTGGTGCCCCAGCCTTTCCTTTTGTTTCTGTAGCTTTTGCTGTGTCACTGCATCTCTTACTGGTTGAGCGCAGAATTCATTATTACGCTATATACTAACACTAGACAGGTCACCAGCTGTTCTGTATTTTTAAAAGCACATTCCAGTCTCTACCATGTATTTATGTAGGTTACGTATGCTCTGTAACACCACTACTACTTATACTGAAATATATTTTATCACATTACATCTTTCTGTTTCTAACCACAGGTCACAATGTGAGGATGCCAAAGTCATAATGATGTTATGTATTCTTGAAGGCTTTCACGGCCAGGATCTGATGGTTGTTGTGGGTTTTTCAGGTTCTTTGGCCATGTTCTGAAGGTTGTTCTTCCTGACGTTTCACCAGTCTCTGTGGCTGGCATCTTCAGAGGACTGGAGTAGGAACTCTGTCCATGCTCTGTTGCTGTTTGTTGGTTAGTTGAGTATTTATAGCTGTGGAAACAGCTTTTGTCTGTTTTCAGGAGATAGGGTGATGTTTTTGTTGTGCAGACTAAAACAACCGGAAAAATCAGCAGTAGCTGAACATGCTCTAAAACAAGCTGGACATGAAATTCTATTTCAAAATACTGAAGTACTGACAACACCAGCAATCTGTATGTTAGACTGCACAGGGAAGCCATTGAATTCGATAAACATAAACAAAACTTCAACAGAAAGGAAGAAGGCCTAAAGCTAAACATGGCCTGGCTCCCAATTCTGAAAAATACAGCCTGCAAAAGGTCAACAAACTCTACCCAGCCACAAGGGCCAGGGATCATTGCACAAAAAAGACCAGCTAATGACACCCATCAATCACATTGACAGATAAGCTCTCCCCCCCCCTTATCACAACAAAAACATGCTGATCACCCTATCTCCTGAAAAAAGACAAAAGCTGTTCCAACAGCTATAAATAGTCAACTAACCAACAAACAGCAACAGAGCATGGACAGAATTCCTACTCCAGTCCTCTGAAGATGCCAGCCACAGAGACTGGTGAAACGTCAGGAAGAACAACCTTCAGAACATGGCCAAAGAACCCGAAAAACCCACAACACCCATCATAATGATGTTCCTGCCCTTTGTGGAGAAGATTAAGAGACAGGAAAGAGAGATGACCTTTCTTCATCAGCCTCAGTTAATGCTTTGTTCACACACACGATGCAACATTTTTGTCGTTTTTCAGCAGGAATCCTCATTATGCAGAAAACCAAATATATGTGTACTTTTTCATGAGAAGCTAAATGCATGTTGTCATATTAGGCAGCAATAGAGGTGTCTATTAAACACAGCTAAGAGATGTGCTCAGACGGGGCCTTACTTTGTCGAGAGCTGCTTTTTCCAGTTCTTCTTTTGCAATTGCTAGTTTTTGTTCCAAATCTGTAAGCTGCTGTGCCTGTGGGAAATTTGAAAACAAATTAGCTAGTATAACTTATATCCTATGCTTTCCCACTAAACTCATCCAGTGTATCTATGAGAGAAAGAAAAATGAAGGTTTTACTTTGCAAGGTAAGATGATTAAAAACAGCCACTGCCACCACCCTGTGTGTTGTCAATATAACAGGTTCTCCAGGGAGTTTTACAATTGGTGAAAGTTGGGGGAAAACATTTTTATTACAGGATCTAAATCCAGTTTTGCACAGATGAAGGCTCTGTCATTGATTTCAAGGGAAGTGAAAAGATCTTATCTTGTGTTAAAATATTTAGAAATTTGATTAAAGAATATGTGTTGTAGTATTTTTTTTATAACCTTGGAGCTTTGTTAAATATTTTATTGTACGTTTATAAGACATTCAGGGCAGAACTAGACATTTACATGTATGTGAGAAAGCCACATTTTTTTCACCCAGCAAAATAAACCCGATTAGGAGAATTTGAACTAATCAATCCACAGAAACTGGTTTTTGCTTAACTCTTTCATACCTGACCTTTTTTTGTAACATCTGCCATAGTCCACAGCCTTTTTTCCTTCTTTTTTCCTTTTCCTTTTTGGTAATTATATTACCCTGCAGGAAGACAAGCAACTTATGGGGATGTTTAAAAATCAGGAAGAAATGAACTCTTCCCAATAGATTCTGTGTTGCTTTTCTCAAGCTCAGAACTCCCTCCCACTGCAGGCGAGGCTGGTGCCTCTTTATTGTCCTTTTGCAAGCAGTCAAATACCTTTCTCTTCAGACAACCGTTCCCTGGGTGAATGGCTGCTGAGTGGGGTTTTTTTTTTAATGGATTGCTGTAATCTCACTGTACTGAATGCGTTTTGGTGTTGCTTAAGTTTTTTTGAATTATATTCATTGATCATTTTAGTGTCATATACTCATTGTTACTAATTTTAAATACTGTCTTTTAATTGTAAGCTGCCTTGGGTCCTTTTTAAGGAGAAAGGCAGGTTAAAACTATTTTAAATAACAAAATAAATATTTATAATTCTCTATTTATAACTGTGTTCTTTGCAAGATGGAATGAAGTACTGCAAAACAGATACCAACTACTCCATTATTTTTCCATCATGCATACTTTAAAAAAAAGACTAGTGGTTGAAGTTTTCATGTACCAGGAAACTTCCTTTCTGTCATTTTGAGTTATGACAACCAACTGTTTTTCATAGATATTTTATTCCTTACCCTTGTCTCTCCCTGATGGTGAAGTACATACCTATAGGTCTTATTTAATTACTATTTTTTTAAAAAAATCTACATGACATCTGAGAATGTGGCAGCTGCTCCTGTCTGAGGTAGTTAAACCTCAGATTTAGTGAATGGATGGACATCCAGTGAATGAATTTACAGACTTTCACTAGAAAAATTCTCCAAAATAGACAGTATCTTTTCTCCTCATAATGGTAAATGCTACCTGTACTACACTAGTGCAGTCATCTGCAATTATACCAACACCACTTTGCCAATAAAAGTTTGAGGATGGGCCAAAACAGAAGGCCAAAATGATATGAAGGAGGACTCATGACCTCTTGGTATCACGTATTACTTGAAACTATCCACTTAATTACTAGGACACTACTGCAGCCCTTCCTCACAGTGTCAGGAGGTGCAACACTGGTGCTATTGGAGCATGAAATAATGAGGCAGTTACTTATTTGGTCAGCAACCATCCTCCCATTCTGAGTAGAGTTCAGGGAAGATAATAGTGGCTGATTCAGAGTTGATCTAGCATTTCCCCGTTCCAAACAGACTAGCTTAAATTGGTTTGTTATTTGAGTTCTCACTCCCTGTAATTATGGGTAGCAGTGTCATTAGACAGTTTAATATACTTACAGCATGGTAAACTGAACACATATGGAATAAATTATTTGTGAATTATTTGTGAATCCCTGTACCTATCTTCAAGATGAAAGGTGTGCTACAGGACCTTCTTTCTGGGATCTGTGGATTGGGGAAGGCATCTCTGTTGTGACCTACACTGATCAGACATCTGAAGACTTATGAAGTGGGTGTAGAGACACAGACTATACATTAAAACTAGACATATGGCCAGAGGGCAGGGACATATACTCAGTTATATCCAGGCTTAGGGCTGGGTCAGGCTTCTTATTGCATAAGTGTCCTCAAACCTGAACAGTTTCAGCACTGCTGATTTACATTTGTTAATTCCATAAAGCTGTGATCTCCCAACCTTCTGTGTGTCTCATTCTACATTGATGCAACTTTGTATGCTAAAATTAAAATGGCAGGTTACAAATCAACAAAGTAGCTATTACTGTAATTGTCCTATTTGCCGATTTAAATAGTTTTGTGCTGAGGTCTGGTTTTTATATAGGAACATTGGGAGAAAGGACATTGGACCAGATGGTAATCTTGGCAGTAAGACTTTTTTTAATGATGCATTGAACATTTTTAGCACATGAATTCCTCTGCAAGGTTTAAACTCATAAGTCATAAAGGAAACCACATTTAGGGCTCTGGGCTAAATATTTCCAAACAAGTGTCTGCTACAGCTTACTGCTAATTTTTCCCACAGATACCACCATCCAGATGTCTGACTTGCATATTTCATTTACAAAATTATAGGAAGAGACACTTCCATCCTCTGAATCATTGCTATGTGGTTTCTGCAGGCTGGTGGGTAATGTGAAATGTGAGAATAACGTGCAATGAATGAAGAAGTCATGTTAAATATATTGAATGTGAAGACAAATGAACAAAAGCCACATAATTCAGAGTGAAGCAATATCAAAATCAATTGACATACACCTATAACCAACATGAAAAGCAAATTGGAAAGTTAGCTGTTTTCCAATTTTCTAAGGCTAACCTGATCAATGAACACCATAGTACAGGGTCCTGAATATGGAGTTTAACTCTGGAGACCTCCAAGCACAAATGCCTCTATGACTCCATTAAAATATATTTCTGCTCATAAGGGGCCTTGTCAGTCTTCAAAGAGATTTAATTAGGAAGAGCTTGCATAGGTGAAGTTGACAAAGGGCTTTGCTTTTGTGTCCAACATAAACAAGAAGTTTAAGTATCCCCCTGCACAGGTTTGGACAAGCTAAACTGAAGAATGGCATGCTCATCTGGATGTGATCATCATCATCATCATCAAGAGCAGCAGCATCAAATATACGGGATAGGGTCACAATGTAGACCCTTTGCATGTATGTGCAAATATACAAATCCTGACCCCCTAGCTGTTCAGCACAATAATGAAGACCTTAACACAGATATGCATAACCTTTTTTTCTTCATTCCTTTTTTCCTTTTTTTTCCCTCAGAGATAACCACCATGACCAAGAAAAGGTCTGTGCATTAGCTTTAACCAAATCCTGTACTCCAAGTCGAATGTGGACTATTTTATATCCTGAATCCAAGTGGATAACCCCAGTCTGGCCTCAACTGAATCAGGGTGATTCAGTGCAGGGGACTCCATCAATCTTTAAATGGCTTTTAATCAATCCAAGATTGGCACTTTGATCCACCTGACTATACCTGCATTCTGTCCTTGGCCCTAACTGTCTTGTCTAGAGTTAATTTTTCCCTTTTTTTACTCTAAATGGTATAGTGCTGCACCAATGTTGCAGACGGAAAAAACTCAGCACCTATGTGATACAGTGCTAAAGTCAAATAGTTTATTTAACTTTTTTAAAAGGAAAACTGTTCAGACAGCAGGTGTAAGTGCTGATTTCCTGATAGGACAGCATCCCACACCACCTCAAACACGTCACCAAGATGTCAGCACAGGGTACATCACTGCACACAGAATAAAACAATGTTGCTGTTCACACAACCATAAATAGGTAAAAAACTATCACAATTTAAAATAAACAACCACTTGATGGATGTTCAAAAAGAAACCATTCCTTGAAAAAAAAAGTGAGTTTCCCCTGTACTTACAATAAAGGTGTGTAGTAAGTGGAGGAGTATATTGTAATGTAATCACACTCTAAGTGAATGAGAGTTTGGAATATTTGCAAATCCAAATATTGGGCCACATCTGGACTTAGCTCAGAGGGGCCCAGATTGCACAAAGTCCAGTCAGTTTCTAATCAGAAGCACATATTCACTCCCTGGACTGGATTGGGGGACCTACACACATCCATAATGATATACATACACACTACCACAAAAGACAAAATGCATAACTGAAAAACAAAAGGGGGGAGGGTAAAAGATGACATAGTTTTGCGTTAAATGTGCAAATATGACTTTATGTATATATTTCTCAGGCTGTTCTCTATCCTGCTCCTCAAGGGAAGAAAGTAAGGAAATGCAACCGCCCCCCAAGCCCTTTTCCAGTTTGAGAGAGTTAGGCTTAGCTTTTTTGAAGTACAGATTCTTTCTGCCTTGGAATGACCATTGGCACTATTCCAAATGTACATTACACCTTTAAAACTGAGAAGCTATGGAGGCTGCTCTATATCTCAAATTGTGCCCCTTTTCTCTAGACAGACTGGATCCCTAGTGGTTGAATTCAGCTGTAATTCCATAGAATTTGTGTTCCCTTGCTAGATGACTTCACAGTCATAACCAAGTGGATACAAACTTTTCTCTTTGGGACACAATCACCAGCACAGACTTATTTATCATGAGAGGAAAACACGTGGATGGGTTGCTAGACAGTGGGAGTAACTGTAAAATGAAACATTGTGAAATCCATCTGCTTTAACAAGAATCTCAATACAAGGAGTATTAAGATGAATAACCCAATCTCCAGTCTAGTCCCACATATGTGGGTCACTCCCTACCTAAGAACATTGCTGGATCTCCATGGCTGGGTCTCAGAGTTCCTGCATATCTCCTCCTTTTCTGATAGCCAATGGGGACATGAGGATTCCCGTTGTCTTACCCATATGCTATTCTCTCTTCAAATTCACCTCTGTGATCTCTCTCAGTCACAGACAACATTTTGGCTGGCCAGTTGACCAGGTACACTGTTCAGCTAAAT